GATTTCGGATCACCGCGTATAACAGACCGTCCGCTGCCGACCACCGCGTCCGCTTTTGAAGTCACACCTCGGCGAACCTTGTTCTCCGCATCTTCACGCTATTTTCGAGCCATGGCCGCCCACCACGATCAGTTTGGTGGCTGAAACCCAGAACCACCATTTTCTGTCTGGTCGCCGCTACTATTTCTTAGCCGAGAGTCCAAACTTCTGAGGCTTCTTGTTCATCTATGTGTCCAACCTTCCGAGCCGACATATCGAGGGTCTGAAGAAACCGACTTCAACCAGTCACTCATCAGAGTTCCAGCCCAAATTCTTGAGTCCCTGGAGTTCAAGCAACGGAGAAAACATATTGCTGAGATAGTTGAAGATCTAAAGTGGGACGGTGTAGACCCTGACATGTTGACAAGGTACCTCAATTGGTTTTTGCTATTAATTTAAATGCCAGAATCAAATGACCAAAACGGCTATTCATATTCTGCGATTTTGCTAGTTCTAGTTCTGTTTCAGTGTAAGTTACAAATATTATCATATATCCTGATGAATAATCCAGAGTATAACCGGGCTAGGGTTTAAATATAATCACGTGCAGAAATGGATTATTCACCATGGAATATCCTTTGCATGAGTTTGGGACAACAATGTTTATGGAAGTGGATTGAATGACTATGGTACCTTATGTTTTTTACGAGACCATCATCTTCGCCAATGCATTTAATTGTATATGTAAATATGCGTAATTATGCAGATTGATTTCACGTGATCATAACTTAAGATTAAATTGCAATATTTTCTTGAAAGAATATTTCAAAATTGAGCTTCACAAAATTGACTCTTTCCATTTTTTCTTGAACAGCATCTTCTTTACGGCTTCTTTCTAAAACAGTTTCTGCTTGACTGATGGAAGACTTATTTTAGGTTTTTCTACATTGCAGAATACAGGTACCATCACAGTGAAGGATAAGGGAAAAGATAACAAGTTTCATATCGATCATGAGGGGACAGGATAATTTATTTGGTTTATTTCTGGAAATTCAGATTTATCTTCTCCTCTAGGGCTCTTCATTCAGTTTGGGTGTTCACATGCGGCATTCTGTTTCATAAGTATTTAACTAAAGTGCTATTCAATTCAAGACAAAAGATTGTAGAGGTTACTTAGTAGCTTGTGGATTTTCAGTTTTTTTACAGAAGGTGCATGTTTTACTGATTGCCTGAGATTGCCTGAAATTATCTGGATGTTTTATGTCTATTAATAAGTTTGTCATTCCTTAGTTTTGTCCTTTTTTCCCCTTAGGGAATGTATTTCCTCATCCAAAATTTAGTAAAATCAACTACCGAGTACTAAGCATTCAAATGCTGTCCGTTGTCTCTAACTGTCGATACAATTGCGACTCAAGCGTTCCATTTGTAAGATAATAACTCTTCTCATTCTTACAATTCCCACAGTGCTGTAATTTTGGGGGATGAAAACTCCAGCATTCATATTGACGCTGTCATTGATCCCTTGAGTCCCTCTGGCCAAAAGCTCTCGGCTCTTCTTCGCATTCTGTCAAAGTACGCTCAGCCAAGCATGAGACTTGTGCTCAATCCCGTGGTGAGTTGCTATCATAACTTCAAATGCTTGTATGACAAATTCATAATTTCCTAATTGTCTGAAAATTTACTACTTTGTTCCTGCAGAGTTCTCTAGCGGACCTTCCTTTGAAGAACTACTACAGATATGTCGTTCCAACAATGGTATTCCATGTTCCTTTTGCTTATCACCTTCTCATAGAATCACATGCTTTCAGTTTCTCACGATGTCTGAACTCTTCAGGATGACTTCAGCAGTATTGATCACACAGTGCATGGTCCCAAAGCATTTTTCGCAAACATGCTACTATCTAAGACACTCACCATGAATC